ATCAGATAGCCACATTATGGAGCAAAGCATTGAACTGAACTCACCACTTTACATTGGATTTATAGACTATGAAAAAGCATTTGACAGCATAGAAAGGGAATCTCTCTGGAAATTGATGGGGCACTATGGAATCCCACAGAAAATTATCAACTTAGTAAAGGCAACATATAAAGACATGAAATGTCGAGTTCTTCACGAGGGAAAGCTAACAGATGCATTTGAAATAAAAACAGGTGTGCGACAGGGATGTCTTTTGTCGCCTCTCTTGTTTTTACTGGCTATAGACTGGACTATGAAAACAGTAACTGCTAACACCAAGAATGGAATTCAGTGAACCCCTACAAAACAGCTTGATGATCTGGACTTCGCTGATGATATTGCTCTTCTGTCCCATTCACGGAATCAGATGCAAGATAAATTAAATATACTTAATGCGAGATCACAGCAGCTTGGTCTGAATATCCATAAAGGAAAGACAAAGATAATGAGAATAAATCAGACAGATAGTAATGTGGTTTCTCTTAATGGCACCCCACTCCAAGACGTGGAGCCGTACACCTATTTGGGCAGTAATGTAGATAAAGATGGAGGAACTGATAGAGATATTAAAATAAGAATACAAAAGGCAAGAGGGGCTTTCATAGCACTAGGGAATTTGTGGAGGTCAAAATAAATTAAAATAAATACTAAACTAAAAATTTTTAATTCTAATGTCAAATCAGTACTATTGTATGGGGCGGAAACATGGAGAACAACGAAGGTAATTACTTATAAATTGCAGACATTCATTAACTGGTGCCTGCGCAGAATAGAGGGAATAAAATGGTATGATAGAATAACTAATGTAGAACTTTGGGAGAGAACTAAACAGGCTCCAGTGGATCAGGAGGTGAGGAAAAGACGCTGGCGTTGGATAGGGCACACACTGAGAAAACAGGAGAACAGCATAACTAGAATGTCTTTGCATAGGAACCCACAGGGGCATAGAAATAAAGGAAGGCCAAAAAACACATGAAGAAGAGAGCTGGAGAAAGAGGTTAGAAATATTGAAAGTACATGGGGAGAGCTCCATGTAATGGCGAAGGATAGAACGACTTGGCGTGAGTTGGTTGAGGGCCTATGCTCCATTGGGGGATAGAAAGGCAGAAGAGAGAGTTGTAAATTTGCTTAGAGAAACCACACAACAGCCAGGGGCTGCTTGGGTTGGTTCTGCAACGTCCTTTAAAGGATATGTCATTCCTATAAATAAACGGATAAAGAATACGCAGCCAACCATATATCAATTTATTACCATCCTAGCTAAAGTTAATAGTTGCGTATCCTTTACAGGACGTTGCAGAGCCAACCCAAGCAGTTTTTGACTGTTGAGGTATATCTAGGTAAATTTTACGTTCAGTAGTTTGCCATTGCTTACTAAACGGTCAGCTCTCGGTCACTATGTCAAAACCATGGCAAGACAAAACGTCAGCAGCTGCGATCGAACCCGGCACCCCGGCATTACTCAACGCCTAAGCCACAGACGCCAAAATCTTAGTAAAATCATCGGCTATCCTCTGAATAACGGTCCTAAATTATCGAGGCGGAAAATATACCCTAACAGGGCCTCAGTTACGTGTCAATTGCGCACTTCCGGGGACTATAACGCTATCGCCGAATTGCGAACTTTCAGCGACTTCCGCCACCGCCGAGTGTAAACCCCTCACGCCGCTCACGCAGCGTGGATTGGGCCTGAACTAGATGGCTAAGACTCACGAGCAAATAAAATGAAGGAAGCTGCAGAAGATGCGGTAGCTGCTGCTCGTGAGTCCCAGCCATCTAGTTTAGCCCCAATCCATGCCGCGTGAGCGGCGTGTGGTATACTCTGTGCTGTGGCGGAAGTAGAAGGAAGCGCGCAATTTAAGACGACGGAAGTGCGCAATTGACACGTGACTGAGGCCCTGTTAGGCTATTTTTTTCGCCTCGATAATTTAGGTCCGTTATTCGGAGGATAACCAAATCATCCTATTAACACACACAAGCAGACACACACGCGCGCACATGCACGCACATACTTACACAAATACGCGCGCGAGGTTATTAAAAAATTTACGCGAACAGGAGCCATAGAAAGAGAAACATGCATACATGAATTCAGAGAATCAACGCCCACAAAAAAGTACTCCCATACCATCTTCCAGGTCAGCATCATTGTTGAGACTGATTCTCCTGCTGCTGCTAGTACCCAGCACTTGGATTAGGCCCTTAATAAATGTCTGCAAACGCCGCTGTTGGTCCTCGCCCAAGTCCTTTGGTGATATCGTTCCTGTAAATGCAAAAATGTGTTTCAAACACCGTCATCCTCGTGTAGGTTTCAGAGCCCTGTTTTGGGGCAAAATAGTAATAGGCCTACTGCCCAACACCCCCCCCCCACCCAACCGCCCCCTCCCCACCCAACCGCCCCCCTCCCCACCCAACCTCCCCCTAAAGCAAGTATGTCGCTTAAAGAGGCAGTTCTTTACCTGAAAAAATGTTAACTGTTGAATTGCCTGCCGGTCGTTACCCTTTTTTTGGGGTCGATCGACCCTCTCACAGGACCATCGAAAAGCATATTCATTGGTTATGAAGGAAAATACTTTTATGGTGGTTGCCAGAACTTGAGGGTTCTATGTTGAAGGATCGCGGCATTAGGAAGGTTGAGAGCCACTGACTTATTGCGACTAATTAGGTGTATTTCCTTCAAAGTCGTGCATCTGTCTGACTGATAGGTAATGAATCAACAAGCTGCATTTAAATAAACCAGATCTTTAAAACAGATGTGCCATTAAATAAAACTCAAGATCTGAAACAGGACTAAATTTTAGAAGTGGACGAACAACCAGAATTGTCCGCCGTTTACAGCCACTGACCAATTAGAAGAAGAAGTTTGCTAACCGTCTTATGCCACATTTTTAAAAAAATAGTTTACATTTCATAGGTATGTAGAGGGAGACACATAAGTAGACAACCGCCTGACTAAACTGGCAGACAGAAATTTAGTATTTCGAAAGGTTAGTAATACTTAGAGAGTACGCTTCTTGTAATCGACCTTTCTTACCATTAGGTTACATTTTTCTTTTACAAAGGCGTCGATACAAAGAAAACATGCACGGGAGTGGAAAAAAAAAGGGGGGGGGGGATCTTGGGGCACTGCTCTCATACCAATATATGAGGATGGGCGGGGGAGCTAAACACTGTGATTGATATTAATATCAATAATCATCATTATAATTATGTAGAAGGTCCTTTGCAGAACGTCGCTCTCATCACGGTCAGTCTGAAAGAAACTCGGTCACCTCGCCAGTTCTCCCCCCTCATGTACTTTCATACTCAAGGAGTCACTTACATCCTGTGCCCATCTTCGTGTCAGTCTGCACCTACCCCTCCCTGGCACTATGTCTTCTGCTAAAAAAATTTTTAACCCGTCGTGGCACTTGATATGACCAAAATATTTCAGCTTCCGATACAGGATGCTGTTTATTAGCCAATCTTCCTTGATGTTCGGAAATGTTAAGATGTCAGTATTTCTCCTCTTCTTTGTCCAATATATTCTAAGAATCTTTCTATAGCATTCTAGCTCAAAAGAGAATAGTGGCTTTTAAGCTGGAATGCTATAGAAGTAATAATAAACAATATCCTGTCTCGGAAGATAATGGCTGCTTGTTGTTCATGATAAAGATTTTCAATTAATGCACTGCACTAAATGCGCTGGAAACCCCATACTTCTCATAATAGTCCACAGTTTCTGATACTGGACACAATGAAATGCTTTGCTATAATAATAATAATAATAATAAAAGTAAAAATAATCATATGCTAACTTGCAAACAAATTTTAAATTTAAGTATACTAAAACAATATGGAATATAAAGTAAAAAGTGAACAGAGAACCATTATGCATAACTTGTGGTAAACACTACCTCAACTTTTAGTGTGTCTTTTTTTTTCTTTCTGAGACAGACAAGTGTAGGTGGGGGGGGGGGGGGGGGGGGGGGGGGTGTAGTGTCAGCGTGCTTAAGCTCCCATTTTCCAACATTCCGGTTTTCAAGCATAAATAGAATAGATTTAGCTCCCGAGTGGGTTCCATGGCAATTTTGTTGGGAAAACAAAAACAGGCCCACTGTATTCCCAAATGCGTGTGGAAAGAGAAAACTATATAGGAGCTTTCTTCAAAGTCGGAGTACATGTGCCTGAGAGGCAAAAAACCAAAAGTCTGCACACAGATGAGTCAGTTTTGAAAAACGGATGCGCACGCAACACTCTGGTTTTGAAACACAACTACAGTCCAGAAGCAGAACAACCAAAACTTTCCGCCAGTTTACAGTTGGTGAACGGGAAAAACAAGAACTATATTTAGCACCAGAAAAAACGTTATGAGCACTGCACAAGCAGCTGACGGAGGGAATAAAGATACCTTCATTGTCGACTGAGTAAAGGAATATACCATTTTCCTGAACATATCTAGCAAAAGTAACACTTGAAACATCTTCTTTTTCACCTCCTAATCCCCTTCTTCTTTTTTTCCTCCTCCTCCTTCTTCTTTTACTCTTCTTCTTCTTCTTCTTCTTCTTCTTCTTCTTCTTCTTCTTCTTCTTCTTCTTCTTCTTCTTCTTCTTCTTCTTCTTCTTCTTCTTCTTCTTCTTCTTCTTCTTCTTCTTCTTCTTCTTCTTCTGTTTCTTCTTCTTCTACTTCATCTTCTTGCTATTCAGCGTTCCGAGCCTTGAATGTTCACTATTGCAGATACCACCTGCCTCTATTCATCTCTGTCATCGGCTTTCTCTTTACACTTGGATAACTACAGATGGTTGCAGGTATGTCTAGATATTATCATCAGTCTACGATTTTCCTTTACTGCCTCGCGGTCTACGGCCATTCATCGCCCCTGTGTACAGTATTTTTGTCCTCTGCTGTCTTCAGTCATTCTCTCTTGCTATTTTGGTATGACACATGAAAGACAGAGACAACATGACTTTGGCGGTACCTACCCTCCAGCAAGCCTTCCAAAATATACTCGTCATCTGGACTCAAAACGAGGTTTTCAATAATGTCTTTGATGTTGGGACGACCTTCACCTGTTAATACAAGCAGAAGGCAGCACCGTTATATAATACAGCTAGTGTTTAAGGATAACGTGATAAATCTGGTATATCAGAGTGTAGTGTCACATCTGGTATCTCTGGGTGTAGTGATACATCTGTTATCTCAGGGTGTAGTGATATATCTGGTATCTCAGGGTGTAGTGATACATCTGTTATCCCAGGGTGTAGTGATACATCTGTTATCTCAGGGTGTAGTGATACATCTGGTATCTCTGGGTGTAGTGATATATCTGGTATCTCAGGGTGTAATGATACATATGTTATCTCAGAGTGTAGTGTCACATCTGGTATCTCTGGGTGTAGTGATATATCTGGTATCTTAGGGTTTAGTAACATATCTGGTATCTCAGGGTGTAGTGATACATCTGTTATCTCAGGGTGTAGTAATACATCTGGTATCCCAGGGTGTAGTGATACATCTGTTATCTCAGATTGTAACGATACATCTGGTATCTCTGGGTGTAGTGATATATCTGGTATCTCAGGGTTTAGTAATATATCTCAGGGGGTAGTGGTACATCTGGTATCGCAGGTGGTAGTGATATATCTGGTATCTCAGGGTGTAGTGATACATCTGTTATCTCAGGGTGTAGTGATACATCCGGTATCTCAGCGTGTACTGATACATTTGGTGTCTCAGTGTATAGTCAAACACCTTGTATTTCAGCGTTGAAATACATCTGGTATGTTACTGTTATAGTGAAACACTAGTATATTAGCGCTAGAGGGGTACATCTGGTATTTTGAGGTGAAATGTTACATGTAATATTTCCTCTCTGTATTCACACACCTCGTATTTAATCTATATAGTGATACATCCAAATTGCCTATTTATAGTGATACGTCTGGTATTTTATCTTTATAGTGACGTATTTTGTTTTTTAACAGCACATTAGGTATTATAGCGTTAGCGTGATACATTGAATCTTTGGGCCATCAGAGATGTCACTACATTGGAAGGGAGCAGGAGAATCCACAAACACATTCATAATCTATTAAAATCAACAATAATGACTTGCATCACGAGGGCTAACACACTGAGATGGCAGGGGACAATGGCAGTAACAGTGACAAACAGCCTACACAAACGAGTTAGGTGAATGAGAGCCGACCACGATGCAAACTTAAAAAAAAAAAAAACAACGATGGAGAGAAACTACGTGCACACCTACACAGACTTGGAGTCACCAAGGGAAAGGCCAGTCACAGAGATGGATGGAGCGGGTGACATGTGCTTCAATGAATCTCCAGGGCTGGGAATGCCGAATAAGAAGACGATTATAAACTGACATATCACCAACGAATGAAACTTTAGGGAAATCACTGGCTGCTATCAGTGAAAATAAATGACAATCTGGCCCCCCCCCCCCCCCCCCCCCCAAAAAAAAAATATTTTAAAGTCACCTGTTTCAAAAGAAGTGGTGTGTGTGTGTATATATATATATATATATATATATATATATATATATATATATATATATACACCTGTCTCTATCAGTCTTTTCTCTCTCTCTTACACACTACACACACACACACACACACACACACACACACATATATATATATATATATATAATATATATATATATATACATATATATGGACAGAATATGCGTGATATATAAAATACAACTTCAGTATGAAAGATGAATGTTTATAAGGATCGAATATAAGACGTGCAAGTTTGTAACCCTTTGGAAATAAAATTCATTCGTTTGTTTATTCCCTCACTGTTCCGTTCTCTGCCATTCCCCTGCCTCCAGTTCTTCTATCCTTTATCCTGATCCCTCTACATTTTCTCCATGGCTGCCTGTCAAGCCCCGAGTTCTGTCCCTTATTAAGGAAAGTGACCTATGTCTTTAGGCAGATTCTCCCACAAGATGCCTCAGGAAGGAAGAGCTCAACTCTAGTTCATTACTCGACTAGAGCTCCCTGAATTGTCTCGTCCCCCAGCCTCACTCCCGCCTCTGTTTTTCCTGTCGGTTTTTCTGAAGCAATGAAAAAGAGACAAGTTCTGACTAATCTTCCGACAATATTGATTTTAGCGACGTTGACAAAAACGCCGGACATCACTTCCCCGGTAATGATGTTAACAAAAATACAACAATTTACTATGTTTAAAAATGCTGTTGCTTTCAGAGTGCTCCGATGACATGTCTGCAGCTCTGCACCTTCACACTACTACCATTAGGAGAGTAAGATGCTTCGTCTACAATGGACATATTTCAACAGATAATGGTTGAAGTGAACATTAAATCTATGCAAGAATGATCTATCGGGCGCTGCCTTTACAATGAACGTTGGCTGCAGGGAATATCCAACACACTCTGTCTTTGATGTGGTTGTACACTCTCTCAGCCAATTCTTCGTACATCTCTTGATATAAACAGTTTCACCGCTGTCTGCCCCAGCTCTCTTGTCTCACCTTTCTCTCGTGTATGGCTTTTGTACATGGCGAATATATTTAAAAAAAAATTTTTTTTGTATTAACACAAAACAAAAAAGTAAATTCGGGAGATGTCAACCAGCTGGGGAAACCCGGGGAACTACCCAGTTTCGAACACTGGCCGTGGGCTGCAGCAAGTCGCAGCTGGGTTTTAAAGCCAGTCTCCTACTGACTGCGCTAACGCGGCATAAACCGATTTCCTTTATTATGTATATGTCTAAAAGTATATGCATATATGCTCGTTCGTAGTCTCTTCATAATCTCTGTACATGATTGTTTTTGCTTTCAATGACTGATTGCGACATTTTCATTTGTAAACCATCTTTACCTTCCTTTATCTCCCTATATATAGTGTTTGATGTCAGAATACTTTGCTATCCTCAAGATAACGGTAAAAAAAAAAAAAATGATAAGTAAATGTGTCAGATATTTTTTTCAAATTTTTCTGCGCGTTTTCGCTTTCGTCAAAACAAAAGGATTTCTCATGTGAAGCTTCCAAGGGATGTGAAGAGTCCAAGGGATTTTGTTCATTTCATTAAATCGCCCATAGTCCTGTTGTATTATTTATTATATGTCAAATAGTTCTCGCAGTCTACCACTATCCCCTTCTACCCTGTGCATTCAGTTCAACATCATGGATGGAGTCTAGTCCATCGTCCCTGCAAAGTTGGTTACAGAGATTCGTTAGGGAACCTCGTCTCCTTGATTCCTGTATTTCCCATGCCACTGCCTGTTTAGCTATTCTCTGCTGGTTTCTTCTCAGGATGTGTCCAACACAGGCGCCATCTTCTCTATCTTATAACTATGGACACAAGTTGTTGCCCAGACATTTCACTTATTTCTTCCCCTCTTCTAATTCATTCCATTTTATGTTTATGATTTTTCTTAATCATTTGTTTTTGATTGCATTAACTTTAGTTTTGGTCTTGAATGGTCTTCCAGTATGTTAGTGTATCCACTCCCGCGAGTTCCGCGACCCCGGCTGGCGGAGGGGAGAGACAGACCCACTGCCTTTTAACAAGACGACCCATTGAGAATTTATTGAAATCTGAACTGCTGGGCATCACAGTGCAGATATCACAGCCTTGCTGTACAATAACAAGTTCTAACTGCCACTATAAGGGGGAGAGAATAGCAGGTGCTATTTTTAATGCGCTATAAAAGTCGTTCTTTATTGGCTTGTTCTTGATGCTAGTGTGCTATCTGTTGATTGGTCTTCGCGCTAATTAGCCTGAGTTCCTCAAATTTCTTCAACGTTGCTCTCCTGTGAATACTCGCGGCGAGAAACGAAAGGAACAGATGAATTTTTGAGGGGCATTTTCCTAACTCTCTCTGGGGCCACCACTCTTGTCACACATATTAAATAGAACAGAAAACAATATGCTTTATGGAGCTAAAGTTAGTTGCGTATCCTTTACAGGAAGGTGAATAATCCCCAGCATTTGTCAGCTGTTGTGGTTCATCTAGACAAAGGTTACTTTCAGTTGTTTGCCACTGCTTCGTAAACGGTCGGGTCTGGATACCGCTGTCGAAACAACGCAAGATGGTATACCGCAAAATCGCCTGCAGCTGGGATTGAACCAGGCACCCCGGCCTTACCAAGTGCGTTCGCTTCGTCTAAGCCACAGACGCCGACTAGACTGAAAGAAGGAACACAAGTGAGGTATAAGGATACGAATGGATAATGATGATGATGATAATGAAGATGATGGATCTCTTTATGATGATGATGACAATGATGATGACGATGGAACTGATGATATAAATATACTACTTACTTGTTGCCTCCTCTCTATCTGTAGCTTTTTTGTCATCCTCTAATTGATTACTGTTCTGGAAAAGTATCAGATCTTCGGCGTCCGATGGTTCCGACGAGGGTTCTTGGTCAGGGATAACACGACTGCCATCGGGGCTCTCAAAAAACTGGTACGTGTCCTTGTCATCTTGGGCTGGGTCATTCTCCGGATAATAGACGGTGTACTTGGGTTTGTCGCTGTTCTCATATAGGTAACCGGCATCATCGAAGAAAGGATCTCGTTTCAGTTGCCCCGTTGACTTGTCAAAGTACTTGTGAACCTGCACGATCTCGTCTCGTTTATTGGAGTTGAGCAGGTTCGTGTCCTCCTCAGCCTCACTCCGTGAAGCTTCGATTTCCCTGGGGTTCACCTGGCTTGATTCAAGAGCCTGGAGAAGAACTCTGGCGATCTCGCTGTTGGTGTCATCTGCCCAGTCTGTGGACATCAGTGCTTCCTCGCAGAGTTTTCTATTAAAAATCCGTCCCTGACTGAACTCCAGGAGAGTGTTCTGAAGTGTACACTGCGTGTAGGCGTCCTTCCATGTGAAGCCACCTTCGATCAAGCGGCGTATTTCATCTTCTAGTCGTTCTATTTCACGAGTTCCCAGCTGATATCTGGTCTCTCTGTGGTGCTGGCGACTAAATATGCTTTGGCAGCTTCCAAACAGCAAATCTGGCAAATAAAAGAGGATATAAAGCTCTAATTATATATATATATATATATATATATATATATATATATATATATATATATATATATATATATATATATATATATATAAACACGGATACACGTAAATCATACACAGAGAATAGAAGATAAAAACCTACAGTTAGTAACAACATAAAAAAAAATAATAACAGCAGTATTATCAGCACGTATTATTAATATTGGGATTAGAAGTAGTATTATTATAAGTTTGTACTATAAGTAGCAGTACAAGAAGTAGTAGTAGTAGTAGTAGTAGTAGTAGTAGTAGTAGTAGTAGTAGTAGTAGTAGTAGTAGTAGTAGTAGTAGTGTAGTAGTAGTAGTAGTAGTAGAAGTAGTAGTAGTAGTAGTAAGTAGTAGTAGTAGTAGTAGTAGTAGTAGTAGTAGCAGCAGCAGTAGTAGTAGTAGTAGTAGTAGTAGTAGTAGTAGTAGTAGTAGTAGTAATAGTAGTAAAAGGCGGAGGAAGAGGAGCAGAAGGAGTCGTAGTAGAAATAGCTTCAGAAATAATAGTAATACTGTTTATAGTGTACAAATTGTGCACCAACATTAGCAACGTAAGCAGCAGCAGCCGTAAAAGCAGCAGCATCACTATCAGCAGTAGTGATATAAATAGCAAGGTTTGCAGTAGTAGCAGTATTAATAACAGTAGGAAAAGAAGCTGTAGCCGTAATGATTACATTAGCAGCAGTAGTAGTATCAGTAGAAACAGCATTCGCAGTTTAAGTTAGTTGCGTATTCATTACAGGATGAAGCAGAACTAACTCCAGCATTTTTGGCTGTTGTGGCTCTTTTTTTCCCTGGTAGTTTGCCTTTTGCTGTCTGGAGGCTGGCTCTAGACACCACTGTCAAAACTAACGAAGGGCGATCTGCTGCCGATTCGCCTGCAGCTTAGATCGAGCCCGGCACTGAGCAGGTTCAGAAGGATTAAGCCACAGACGCTGACAGGATTCGTAGTCTCGATAGTATTACGTCTTGCAGTTAGTAACAGTGTCTACAGCAGTCGAGGCAAAATAATAATAATTAAACAAACAGTAAACTAAAGTATAGGAATCGTTTCCACACCTTTAGGCGTATGACTACACTTAGATTTGTATAGACCAAGCATCACGCCGGCTGCCTTTACTTCCCAGGACTGCACCTGGTACCCACTTAAGGGTAGGTCGACCTGGCAGTCAAGGACATTTTTGAAAAAGAAATGTCCGGCTCCGTCAGGACGCTAACCCACCCCCGTCCGATCCGCAGGCATGCGTCTAGTCGCCAACGCCACGGCCACTCCCACTAATAATCTTAATAAAAATAATAATACTAATTAGCAGCAACAGCAGTAGTAGTAGTGACTGGAGTTGTAAGAGGTGTATGACCTAGTAATAATTGCAGCAGCAGAAGCAGAAACAGTTGCACTTTTGAAACGAATTGGCTGAGGAGGATTAACTGGTTAACTGTATAAAACCAAAGTCCTGTGTTAGAATATGTTTTATGCTAGTATCTTGACTATATAATCAACTGGTTAACTGTATGAAACCAAAGTCCTTTGTTAGAATATGTTTTATGCTGGTATCTTGACTATAATCAACTGGTTAACTGTGTGAAACCAAAGCCCGTTGTTAGAATATGTTTTATGCTGGTATCTTGACTATATAATCAACTTGTAGATTAGACTGCTAATGTTATCACTGATATTGGTATTGGGCTTCCATATGACCAATATGCAGGCTGCTTGTATTTTAGGGCTTATCCTGTACCTAGCTGACAACAAACACTTGTCGGTCATTAGTCAAGCTTTTTTCACTCGTAAAAAATAGAGTAACACTGAGTTAACACAAACTAGCGTTAAGATTAACACTCAGTTGACATGAAATTCCGACTGGGTCTTAACATGGACGTATTACATCTGTTAGTCCACGGTTAGCAGACATTTTTTAACAAGAACTCCTGATTTTCACACACTCTGAATTTGTGTTAATAAGGTTTTACTGTATTATTATTACATAATCGTCCCAAGCAGGAGTTTTATTGCGATACATAATACTGCCAGCCTAGTAATTTCCTTTCCAGACAAAATTCAGAAACACTAACTACAAATGGTTAGTTGCGTACCCTTTACAGGACGTTGCAGAACCAACCTTAACAGCCCCTGGCTGTTGTGTGGTTTCTCTTGACAAATTTACGTCCAGTAGTTTGCCATTGCCATTTGGACGGTCGGCTTTCTTGATACCACTGTCGAAACCAACGCAAGGCGTAGGGATCGCAGCTGGGATCGAACCCGGTAACCCGGCATTAAGAAGCGTTCGCATCGACTTAGCCACAGAGCCGACTAACTACAAATGATTAAAATTAAAATACAAGCCAGACAATAACGTTCAAGGGGAAATAACAAATATAAATGCACAATCTGTTACTCTTTGAGTTACCTCGCTTTGTAAACATTTCTCATC